GAACCCCCGATAATTTATAATTTATTACTATTTTATCATATGCTATATCTTTTACTAGCCATAGTCCTACATCTTTGTGGGAGCAGAGAGCCTTAACTTTCTCTCCGGTGAAGCGGTTGGTGGGTTTGAACCCCTGGCTTTGTGGTGAGCAGTCAGCCCCATCAGAGCTCTCCACACACAGATGGCATTTCTCAAGAGAAGCCTCTGTCAGCATTGCCTTGAGTACCTGGGAGTGAAGGTTTTCAGGCTTCAGAGGAGATGGATGGTCAGCTGGCCAACCAAGAGATAAAGGTAGCTTTTGAGAATGGTGGCTGCCCTGATCTTACTTCTCAGCATTCGGACTCACTGTGTGACCCAGAAGCCCTGGCGGCATCGTGGGGAACCACAAAGTCAGTAATTTGGGACCACCAGCTGTTCCACAGGAGAAAGGCTTTCTGCTCCCATAAAGCTTTGCAGCCTCAGGACCCTGCAGAGGCCATTGTGCTCCATCCTATAGGGTCGCTGTAGGTCAGAGTGGACTCACCGGCCGTGAGTTCCTTGTGCCTTCTGGATGTGGCTGCCGACTCTTTGCCGTCTGTGAGAGCAGGGCTTTGGCACCAGCAGTTCCCTCTGTCTGGAACACTTCTTCCCCGACTTACGCATGACCCGCTTGCTCACCTTCTTCAAGTCTTTATGGAACCATGACTGTCGGGGTGGAGGCCTGCCTTGAGCCGCCCTTAGGACTGTTTAAAGGCAGAAGCCCTTCTCCCTTCCCACTCTCCCTTTGTCTCGCTTCTTGCCTGTGGCCCTCCACAGGGTGTTTGCCCCACGCAGGGAAGGTTTTTACCCTGGCACCTAGAAGAGCAGCTGGCACACAGAGCCCCGTAAGGTGACCAGGGAAAGTCTCTGTGGGCCGCAGTATCGGGTAAGACCCCTGGGCTGCAGGAAAGACTCTCAAAGGCCACTGACGGGGCTGGGTGGCTTGCATTGGGGCAGGTATTTGTGGACACAGTGGGGATGCCAGAGAAGTACCAGGAGCGGCTGCAGCAACGCTTCCCTGGGATTGAGGTCACCGTCAAGGCCAAGGCAGATGCCCTGTATCCCGTGGTCAGTGCTGCCAGCATCTGTGCCAAGGTCGGTCCTCACTGGGCTTGCATGGGTACCCCACACCTTCCTTGGCAGGGCATGGGCGGTGGTCGCTGTGACAGAGGGTGGTGTCCAGTGCCCGGCGCCCATCTCGCCCACAGGTGGCCCGAGACAAGGCAGTGAAGAATTGGCAGTTCGTGGAGACACTGCAGGACCTGGATACCGATTATGGTTCGGGGTACCCCAATGGTGAGCAGACCAGTGCCCCATCCGCCCTGGCTGACCACACTGCGGGGCTTTGTGAAACTTCCTTGGTAATCTTCCACCGCAGCAGAGGCCGAGGACCAGAAGGGGGTGCCACTTGCCCACGGTCACCTAGCCTGTGTGCCTGACCCCCACCCCCACCCCCAACTTTCACTTTTCTTTGCAACCCCAGTGGCGGACTGAGACCCCCCCTGTCAGCCCATCCGTTGAGGGAAAGGGACTGTGCTCCTGTCCAACTGCCGAAGCTTGGATTCCGGCCTCACGATTTTCTTCCAACCCTCAAGCTCAGCCCTGCGCTCTCTCCTCCCCTCCCACCCTCACAAAGGCAGATCGCAGACTTCGATGGGGTGGCTGGGCTTAAGGAACGGCCCCATCTTTCTCAGAGGCCCAGAGAAGGGGCTGCATCTCCGGATGGGTGGGCTAGGGTGGGGTGGGGCACCAGATTCCATTGCAGATGGGCACTCAGGCGAGAAGCCCAAGTGAGGAAAACAGTTCTGGTCTAAGGTGGGTTGGATCTTCCGTACCCCCATGCCAGGCCTACCCCCGTGCTCAGGAAACAAGAGGAACATGAACCTCCCCGCCCGCTGAGCTCGTGTGCGAGGTCACCAAGTACTGATGGACTTACTGTTGCCCACGGTGCAGGAGTCAGGGAGCCCTCTCACAGGCAGGCTCTCCATGCTGCGATTGCAGCAACTTGGCCCAGGGAGGGTGGGGGTGGGTGGGCAGTGCAGGCGGCTGGACGCTCCCGGCAAGGTTCTGAGGCAGGATGATGTGATGCTCAGGGGGAGCTCCCTTAGGTGTGCAGCAGGAGGCCAGGCTGAGGAGCTGGGGCGTGGTGGAGTGACGTGGAGGCCAGTGACACCCCCACCACCCCGTCCTCTCCCCAGATCCCAAGACAAAAGCCTGGTTGCGGAAGCACGTGGAGCCGGTGTTCGGCTTCCCCCAGTTTGTCCGCTTCAGCTGGCGCACCGCCCAGAGCATCCTGGAGAAGGAGGCCGAAGGTGTCACGTGGTGCGCGCTGGGTGGAGCTGGGGGGAGAGGGCTGGCCAACCCCCCGAAAGTGTTGATGCTGTGAAATGCTGTTGTCTCTCGCCCCCAGGGAGGACTCCTCCATAGAGGATCAGGAGGGGCCCGGGAGGATCACCTCCTACTTCTTCAGTGAAGCCCCCCGCCCGCGCCCCCCACACCGTTACTTCCTGGAGCGTGGCCTGGAGCCGGCCACCATCCTCTGAGTGCCAGGCGGGAGCCCCCTAAACTGGCCTCCCCCCACCTTCCCCAGTTAGTGATTGAAACCACTATGGAAAGCCCAGTTTGGGGGTTCTCCTTTGGGGTGGAGGTGGGGTGTCTGGCACGCCCACCCTCACCCCAACTCTGACTGGTTTTATTTCACTTTCAAACCAAACGCTGCAACATCAGAAACACAACCAGAGGCTTCCCAGTCGCCCTGCCCCAGATCACTGACCAGTGATGTGGCCGGGCCTGCGGGCTCTGGAGACTGTGCAGAGGTACAAAAGCAATATCACCCCATTCTAAACGTTTGCTTGCTTGTTTGTTTGTTTGCACCAAACCCCAGATTGTACGCATTACTCTCGCCACCAGATAGAGCTTGATGATAATTCCAAATCGTTGTCCACAGACCTTCCTGTACACCAGAGTCTCCTACCAACTCACAGTTGCTGGCCCCACCCTAGACCTGCTGGCCTCCTTTTGAAAGAGGTGGACAAACAGCCCCTCTGCCTCTGAGACCTTTGAAACTATCAGAGCGATGTGGGTTTACCTCAGAGCCCCTCTCATTTCTTCTGTCTTCCCTCTGGACCCTGCCCCCACCCCACTTAGTGGTGCTCCCCTGTCTGCAGTCACCTGTCCCCACCCCCAAGCCCCCTGCCTCCAGGGGACAAGAGTATCATCCTGATGTGGCCTCCCATGGGTCTCACCCCTTAGCAGGATTGAGTGCCTGGGCTTGGCATTCAAGGCCTCCCGCCATTCGACCTCTTTAGCTCCCAGGCATTCTTTGCTCTAGACTCACTCACTGACCAACTTTGAACTCTTAGAACGCAAGATTTCCCGCTTCTGAGCCTCGTGAGGCCGGCTGCTGAGATGGCCCTTACCCCACAGTGGTCTACCCAGAAACAAAGGATTCCTTAGTGACTTGTCAGAGGAGCCCTGGTGGTGCAGGGCTTATGCACTGGGCTGTGATCCACAAAGTTGTGAGATCAAAGCCACCAGCCACATCTCAGGAGGAAAAGAGTTACTCTCTCAGAAATTTGCAGGGGCAGTTCCACCCTGTCCTCCTATAGGGTCCCTATGAAGTCGGCATTAGCTTGATGGCAGTGAGTGATGGGCTTGTCACAGCGATAGCTCCCATTATGGAGTGCTGGTTATGTGCTAGGCCTGTTCTAGGCTTTTTCTTTGACCTTCTTCCCATGGGGCAACCCCAGGTCCCCTCCCCTTGCCTGTGAGCGGGCATCCGGGGGTCACTTAATGACTAGAAAACAAAAGAAGAGACACGGTGGGGCTTCCGAAATTAGGCCATCCATCACAGGTGAGCCAACTTCCACTTGGGAAGTGTTCCTCTGGGCCCTTACCTTAGGAACCTAGCTGCCTTCCTGTGAGCAAGCACAGGCCATACCACACCCACTGCCTTCCCCGAGGTTCAAGGACATCAGCTCAACCTAACTGTCAGGGCAGTGAGGGGGTCTTTGAGGTGACTCCAGTCCCCCACCCAACACACACTGTTAGCAACTACAAAATAGAGCACAAGCCAGACCTAGTGGAGTGAGCCTGGGGAACCCCAAGAACCCCGAGCGAGAACAGTGGTTCCGAAGCACAAAGTTTGAGGGGCTTTGCTACAAAGCATTGGGAAAACTACAACCACTCACATGGATCTTGTCGATCCTTCCAACAACGTTGTGAGAGGAGTAGTTGTTGAGCTACCTTTTACCGAAAAGGAGACCCAGTGGCAGAGTGGATTTACACGTAGGCCTGCTCACTGCAAGGGGCGCAGTTCAAATCCACCCACCACCCTTTCTGCCCATACAGATCTGCGGTCTTGGCAGTGCACAGGGGCAGTTCCACTCTGCCCTGAAGCGTTGCGGTAAGTCCGAACGGCCTGTTGGCAGTGAGTTTGGTGTGTAGACCTTTTACAGATGCGGAAAGCATGGCCCAGCAAGGCAGTACATGCCCAAATTCACAGCAGGAGTAACCACTAGGACCGGACTGCGAGGGCAAGTTAGCATACAAGGGGACTTCAAGAAACTCATGGGAAAACTCCGTTCTGTTTTTGTAGTTCCGGTTTTTCCCTACGAACTTGTGAAGGACCCTTGTACAGCATTTCAGACCCAGGACCGTTGCCACCATTTTCTGTAGCCAACATAATGGGAAGTCTGGTCCAACCCACCCCTCCTCTTCCAATACTTGTTTGCCGAGCCACCCTCCTCCATTGCAGTCCCTGTGGTTCATATGGACCTGAGCCCATATCCCACCTCGGGCCAGTCAGCCATGCATCCCTCTGGCCACAGTGAGGGTTTATCAGTATGCATAACCAAATGAGCAAGGCTGGCTGAACAGCGTACAAAGCCCACTGTCCACTACCCATCTGTCAGATTGATGGGCGACGCATGTGCCTTGCTCTGATACTGGGAGCTATACCATGGACATTTCAAGTACCAGTGTTGTCACACATGGTAGATAGGGGTCAGCAGAGCCACCTGACTGAAACCAGATGGGGTGGCTCCCTGGTCAGCAGAGAATTAGCCAATGAAAACCCTATAGTCCCAACACTAATTGTCCAACAGAGTGCTGGAAGCTGAGCCCCAAAGGTTGTCAAGCCACTAAAATACACACTGGTTGTAAAATCGGACTCGAGGGCTAACGATTATGAAGATGGCGCAGGACGACCAGGCAATGCTTGTGTTGTGCATGGGTTGTGGGGCAAGCCAGCCCCACACACTATCACGGGTCTGGCAGGCGCAATTGTATGGTTATGATATATAAAGATTATAGTAAAGTCATAGAGAATAAGAGAGAAGGTAAAATAAAGCAATCAGGCATTTCATGGTAGCGTGCTAACCTCAGTCCTTAGTGGTCCACAGGGGGATGCGGGAGGAGACGAGGGCAAGGTTTGAGAGATGATTTATTTCTAACTAAGGCTATCTTTGAGGGTGTGTAAGTTCCCCTGATTACAGATGACCACATACACAACAGGAAGGGGTGTGTCTTAGGCATATGTGTGACAGGAAGGGGATGAGCTGGGGGGGGTACACATGTGACAAGATGGGCAGACCCTTGACTCAGTATGACAGCCTAACTTTGGTCACCCTTGAGTGGGCTTGACCTCCCTGGGCTCTCCTTCAGGGAAACAATCTACTACCCGTATCAGAAGGGAGTGGGCCCTACTTAGGGTGGCCCTACTTAGTGCCCTAGATGGCCTACAACCCCTAGGGAGAATAACCTCTGACCTGCTTGCAATGACCTCCAAGTGTACAGTCGTTTACCATGTGTAGCAAGCAGCCTTAGTTAGGTTTGGCATGTATTTGGGGGAGACGAGTTGGGAGAAATCTTTCTGTTTCCCACAATAATGTGGGAAAGGTAGTTAACACAGGAAAATGTACTTGAACTATAGCTCTCACTTTCCAAAGTGGTGGCTTTCCTGCCGTGGAATACTAGCTTTCCAGATTCCCTCTGTACTAGTCAGGGAATAAGTCCCAGTCATAATTCCCTCAGGGTTGGCTTCCCACATGGGGTCATCGAGAGGCGGAGCCAACCTGCTGGGAGCCATCAACAGGCACACCAGCCACTGGAAACAGAGTTGCTAGCCCAGTTCTGCCCAGAATATAACCAAGAGAGAAAGAGCACCCTAGCATTCTTTAAATGCCTGGGTATAGCCATTCCTGAAGCCATTCCTAAAGTTTGGTGTCTGTCTGGTTTCTGGTCACTGTTTGGGGTAAGGTTTCTGGTCACTGTTTGGGGTAACTGCAAGGTTGGAGATTTCAAACACACCAGCTGCTCCAAGAGAGAAGTTATCTGCCCCTATCAGAGGTTTACTATCTCAAAAGCTCAAAGGACCAGTTCTACTCTGTCCTATAGGTCACTGGGAGCCGGAATCAACTGACTGGCAGTGGGTTGGTGGTGTTTTGAATTAAGACTCTTTGAGATGAGTTTGTCTCTTGCAGCTTCAAAAGGCTCTAGAGGTTCTCTGAGAGCCTGTGGATAAGGAGCCGCATTCTGGTCGTAGTTAAATTCTGAATTTGAGTCCAGTCCTTTGCCTTGGGTCTACGACTGGGATATGGGCTGGGGGAGCAGAGGGAGTTAAGACAGACACCACCAAGCCTGCCTTATCAGCGGGGAAGGCCCTGAGAGGTCTGTAGAAGTCAGGTTCATGGATAGGGGTGGTGGGGGGTCTCATGACATCCCTGGTCCCATGTCTAACATCTGGGTTATATGACACATGCTTGGGGCATAGGACAACCATTTGCACTTGAATGTGGGTCAGTTCTAACCCTTAAACCAGAAAATTCTGACCGAAACCTATCCATTGTTGGCGATCCGTCTTCCCACCTCTATTCCCAGTCAGCAGCACATCAGATGCCCTAGCAGCGATTTTATTCAAGAGGAAGAAGGGGACATGAGCCAGGGTCAGTTGCTTCTTGGGGAACAGCCTGGAGTGGGAGTCTCTGGGTCTAAGGGTAAAGGGGTCAGAGTAGGGCTCTGGAAAGCAGGGGAGGGGGGAAAAAGGGGTAGGCTCTAGGTGTCTTGGTAGGGTCGGGTCTGGGAAAGGGACGCCAGGGGACACCAGCTAAGACCCGGCGGGCCCTAGGGGCCACTGCCACTGCCACTCCCACTCCCACTGGCAGCCGGATCCAGCATCGCCAAGGTGCGAGGGCGCCGGGAGGCGGCTTCCCGGGCCCGCCGCCTGGGTCTGGGTCGCGGCAGTACCGGGACAGAGATGTTGAGGCAGTGACGGGATCCAGGAGGTGCCACCGGCACAGTGTAGCCCAGGACAGAGCGGCAAAGATCGGCGCCGTCAGCGAAGGTCTGGGAGGAGGGGTGGAGTTAGAGCCGGGGTGGGCGGAGTCTAGGGGGTGGGGTGGGGTGGGGAGGGAGGCTTCTAGGGGCGGTGTCAGGGATTTGACTTTAGAAAAGAAAAGTCTGGGACTTTACCTGTCCTAGGAACCTAGTGGGGCTACTCAGCCTCCGGGTCATCCCAGGCTGTGGGCGGGATTAGGGTGGGGCGGGGCTTGGCCAAGGCAAGTGGTCCTTAACTGGTCCCTGGGTGATGGGATGGATGTAGGGGGCGGGGAAGGGAGCGAGACCGGGGGTTTTGGGCACGGTCCAGTCCTCTGGGGCCTCCTAGGGGCTGTATGAACTGGGTGGAGGCAGAGTTGGTCCCTTGGCGAGGGCGAATCTGGACTCACCGATTACCGGGGAGGGTAGGGACATTTCTGGGCACAGCGGTCGGGTTTAGGGGGAGAAGGAAATAGGGCCTTAGGAGTGCCAGTCTGGACTCTAGGACCTAAATAGGTGAGGGGAGAACCTGGCGAGGAGGGTCTCAGTGCCCTCTGTCCCCTGCTCACCTGCCCATACGTTGGGCAGCCAGGCTCACAGCCTTTTCTATCTGCGAGGGAAAGCCCCGTCGGGCCACAGGTGATGTCTGCTTCACAGGTGGTGAACCTGGGGACAGAGTTGAGAGAGGAGGATGGACAACAGCTCTCCAGTCGTTCTGGAGTAAGTCCGACTCTCCATGGCCCCGCCCATGCCTGCTCCCCGGCCTCTGTGAGGCCCAGACCCCACCTCTGAGAAGCACCTCCTACAAACTAGTGTCCACCACACCCCTTTTATCTGCTCTGTCCACCCATGCCCTGGACCCCGTCACAACGGGCCCACCACCTGAAGACCTAGAGCCACCCCTTGCAGGTCAGCCTCACACCCTCCAACTTCTCATGGGGTTGCTATGAGCCAGCAAGGAGTTTGAGTTCAAGCAAAAGGCCCCGCCCCCTAAGCGTCCAGGAGGCCCGAACAGGTCCCACCTCCACGCAGCGCTTCAGAGGGCTCCACGGCTCCGCCCCTTTCTGTTTAAACCTGAAACCTGGGTTCTAGCTCTCCCAACCAGCTAGCTAGCTACACACCCGGCCCTAGGCCCACCTGAACCACCTGAACCCTTTCCTACCAGTTTTCACAGAGATCCGCGCAGAGTGGCCAGCGGAAATGACTCTGGAGGGCACGCTGGAGGTGTCCCTGGAAGGATTCACACCTGAATTGGGAGAGGGAGGAGGTCCGGATGGGTCAAGGACTCGGGCTCGGACATCTGAAGCAAAGAACTCGAGGATGCGCCAGAGGAGGCTGGACTCACCTGGGGCTCGTCACCTCACAGCCAGACATCTTTGGTGTGTCCATCTTGCTGGGGCAACAGGGCCCTGGTGAGAGAATGTGAGGCCAGTGAGCCAGGGTGTTGGGTCCTGGGGTGGGAAACCAAGGCCTGGGGTAGGGCTGGAGGTCTCTTGAACAGGGGAGCCTCATTCTATATCCATTCTCCCAAACACGAAACGTAAGTAAAACCACTTTGTTTGGTGTACAAATGCCACTCCACAGGATGATAATGATTTTGTAACAATCCGCTGTGTCCGGTAGTGACATCCACGTGTATGCTTAATCTTCTCAACACCCTATGAGGTAGGCTTGCGATTTCTCCTCTTTGATGGGCTTTGTAGACCCAGGGAAGTTAAGTTAGTTTCCCAGGGTCCCAAAGCTAGGAAGTGGCAGAGATTGGATTTGAAAACTGGTGGCCTGGCTCAAGAGTTGTCATCTTACTGACTACCCTTCAGAATGGGCCCATGCTGCCCTTCCTGGTGACCACTTTAGGCCCCTTTCAGAAGGAAATACTGGAATTGCTACGGTGGGGTGAGAGTTGGACCGGGTCTGAGACACTCACCTGCCAGGTGCAGCTGGCCTTTTCCCAGATTGGCCACCAGCCCTTGATGTCCCCAAAGCCTACCTTGGATCAGCAGGCGGCTCCCTCCACAAGCCCCCAGCAGGGAACATGCCAGAGTCAGTTGAAGAGGCCAGGTCAGGCTATTGAGTCTCCTGTGGGCCCCGCAGGCCATGTCCACCTGAGAGAACCGCCAGCGGGGGTGGGGAGTGAGGGTTTAAGCTGTCTCTTCCTGGGAGCTCACTGGCACCCTCCCAGTGTACTGCCAGGAGAAAATGCCGGACAGAATAGAGCCCACAAAGCTCATTAGGAGACAGCACAGTGGCTGGGGGGGGGGGGCCTTCAAATCCCTGGGGACACCAGTGTCTCCCTCTGCCCCAGGAGCTCCTTCACCTATCTGCTCCATCCCATCAGACCCAGGCCACCTCATCCCTCACTCCCTTGCTTAGATCATAGTGCCCAATGCCCCTCAGACCCAACGGGGGTCCAACCCAGGAGACCTCTCCAGCCCTTCCAATGCCGCCCCCTCCCTTCCAGTAATTCCTCCCTCATCTCTACCCAACCTCCTCCCTCTCTCTGGACTCCCATTGGGACCTCTCGGTCACCTTCTCAGCCCACAATCCGCTTAAGGACTGCCACCCGCGTTTGGGCCTTTGGGGCCAAGCTTGGCTGTCAGGGTTTGGGTTCTGACACTGGGGTCCAAAAGCCCCATAAGCAGGGGAAGTTTGGGGTTCATAGAGACATGGAAATTCCCCTCCTTGTTCCCCACCGCTCCCCAAGCCGGCCCTCACCTGTTAAGAGACTGAAATCTGACGGCTGCAGAAACACCTCAGGGTGGAGTCCAGGAAATACTGACAGGCAGGGGGCGTGGCTTATTACAGGGGGCTGGACTTCCTATTGCTCTGCCCCTCCTCCAGCTGACAAAAGCCCAGGGACAAGGGTGTCTGTATCTGTGTTTACACCTTTATGTTATGCTGGCAGAGGTTCTGATAGTTAACATTGGGCTGCTAACAGAAAGGCTGGTGGTTCAAACCCAGCAGAAGTTACTCGAGAGAAGTATGAAACAATTTGCTTCTGTAAAGATTGACAGCATCATCGGATACGCTAGAGAGAAAACTGCGCTCCTATGGAACTTATTCTGTCCTTATAGGAGCCATATGAGTCAAAATCAACTCAATCACAGTGGGTGATATTTGGGTTGTGGCCTAAACTCTATATACATTCAGAATGTGTGTGCACGTGTGTGCTTGGTGAGGGTGCAATTGTGTGGTGTAGGAGTGCTTGGTGCATCTGTGGGTCTCTTGGTTGTGTGGCTATGTCTTTGTGTTGAACATGTATGTATGACTGTCGGGTGAGTTATGGTTGCATGCGTCTTTTAGATGAGTGATTATGTATCTACTCTGAATCTGGGTAAAGGGACGTGTTATGTGTCCCAAGCTAAGTGTGTACAATTGAGGAGGGATCAGAAAATGAACAGGTGGAGGAAATGTAGGATCAGTGTGAGTGGCCGTGTGGACATGTGTGGGTAAGTCAATGGGTAAAGGATGATCATGAGTGAACAGGGGAGTGTGGCCATGTGCTGAAAAAAACAGGGTGTGTGTGTGAGTGTGTGTGTCCACCTGCAGTTTCTATAAATGTGTGTCCTTTGTGAATGTCCCCTCAGTCCACCTACTCATTCAGTAAACGTTTGTTGAACAGCTACTGTGTTCCAGAGCTCAGGATGCATGCAGCAGGGAACAAAACAAAGAAAGATGAGCCCTCCATGATAAGAAAGACAGACAGGCCTGTGAGATGTGGGGATGTGTGCACGCCCACATCTTGTTTTGGAGGAATATGTCTGTGTGTGAAGTAGGATTTGTCTGGGTGCAACTGGGCGTCTTTCTGTTTTGGAACTATATGTGTTCATGTTTGTCGAGTGTGCTTGCTTTTATGCCCGTGTGTGTCGTGTTTGTGTCTGCATGTGTTGAGTGTGTATTTGTATGTATGTGTTTACTAAGCATGTATGTGTCTGTGGAGGGTTGCATGTTTGTGGAGTATGAGAGGTTTTTTATTTGAACAGTTTTATTGACATATAATTCACATATATAATTCAATGTATGTATGTGTTTCTGTGTGTGTTTGCTGAATGTGTTTACGTGCATGTTTTCAGAGTATGGGTACATGTAGCTGTTTGTTGATGTGTGTTTGTGTGTGAGCCTGTGTTTCTGAGTATGCTGTTGGTATGTTTGTGTGCCTGCGCTTCCTGTGTGGGTGCATGTGTAGACTGTCACTATGAGTCTGTATCCTTGCCACTAGGGTAGGGTAGGGTTTCTGCCTCTTTCTTTCACTGCTGTACTCCCAGCATCCAGAAAGCTACCTTGCACATGTTAAACGAAAAAGGAACAAACTTCATGACATCGAGTCGATTCTGATTCATAGCAACCTTATAGAACAGAGTTGAACCGCCTCGGTGGGGTTCTGAGACTGTAACTCTATAGCAGGAGTTGAAAAACTCATATTTTCCCCGTGGAACAGCTGGTAGTTTCAAACTGCTAACCCTGTGATTAGCAGCCCAATGCATGTCCCACCGTGCTACCAGGGCTCTGGCAGACATAGAGTGCTAAATATGTGTTGAATAAATGGAAGAATCAGGAGCTGCTGTCCCCTGACATCTCTCTAAGCCCTCAGTGAGTTCCTGGAGGCCCAGCCTTCCTAGTCTGGTCCATCATGTGGGTGGTACAAGGCACTCGTGGGTTAGACTAGTCCAGCCTCCGGGCTGTAGCTCCTACCAAACCTTAGTACTCCTTCCCCTCCTCTGGTCTCAGCTCTCCCTCTCCCCAAACTCGCATTTCAGCACCACGGACAGGAGCGCGCAAGACCAGATCAGCACCAGGGAGAGCTCCCGTGGCCGCCGACGTGAACAGGAGGCACAGGCGGGAAATCCCGACCACAGACGTAGGTGAAAGGGATGAATTCGGGAAGAAATCACCACAGACGTGCCGACAGAGATAGAGAGTCCCCGACGGAGATAACTCAGGGAAAGGCACAGGAGGACAGATGCACCTCAGGGACACACAGGCAGGTCTTCGCCTTCGCCGCCCCCTGTCAGCTAGCAGAGAGCATTCCGCCCAGTGAATACACCCTCAATGGCCTGGGGCCAGCTAGGGGCTGGGACTCCCGGGAAGCACCTCCCTACCCTGCTCCCTAAAGCAAAGACGGCGTGGGGAGGTGTCCGAAGGCCTCACGGAGCTGGGAGGCATGTCTGCCTTTAGCTGCAGGGACTCAGGATGGAGGAGGGAGGCTTTAGCTGTCCCTCTCCCCAACCTTCCGCTGGCTCGCGATCAGCTCCTGTGAAAATGGCCGGCCTGGCCTGGCCGGAGGGTGCTGGCTGTCGGGTTCCCTAGAAGTGCTCTGCTTGGGAAAGGCTGGGCGTTGTGGGGGAGGGGTGTGTATTCTGTAACAATTTTCCTGCAGGCACGTCCCCAAAGGAATACTTCCGAGATATTTCCCATAAGCACGGGTTTCCCCATGGACAATGTCACTCTGAAGACTGTCTCTCCTTGAGATGTAGGGGGAGGGGGTCTCTGGTGGAAACCATCTCCCACTGAGAATATGGCTTTTAGGGGAGGGTGTCTCTCATGGGGATGTCGAAATGTCACTTGGGGTGGGGGCGTGTTTCTCGACCAGATGTCTTTTCTTGGGCTGGGGGGAGGCGGGTTTTAAGGGAGAGTCCTCTCTCTCAGGGACCACCTGCCATAGAAATGATTTTTCAGGGTCTGAGGAGAGACTTCTCTGGAGACTCTGTCCCCGGAGGAATGTGGCCACCTGGAGGAGGTGTCACAGAGGGAATGTCTCGCAGTGGGAACGTCTGCCCTGGAGAATTTCTGGGGCGGAGGGTCGCCTCAGCAGAGTGTCTCCTCCGCTAAGGTGCCTCCTGGAGGGGTCTGCCCGCTGGGTCTCCTCGGGTGGCCTGGCTCCCTCGGGGATCCCTGGAGGCCCCTCCCCCGCGGGCGCGGGCAGCCTTGGCCGAGGCCAAGCTCGGGCGCCAAGACGCAGTGACGGCGCCGGGCCCGC